GGGGCGTTTTGCAAATGATATCGAAGGAAGAAAAGACAAAGGCAAAGCTGTAAGTGTTTGGATTTTTTAAAAACAGCTCTCTTGTGACATTCAGCAGCTGCAGCAAAATGACTCAGCAGCAGCGCCTCTGCTTGGGTTTTACTTGTTGAAATTTCACTTTTGAAAGCCAAACGGTAGTTTGTCTTTAACAAGGTGACAAGTTGAATTCTACTAATGCGAATGTTAAAAATAACTTCTGGTTTAATACGTTAAAAATAACATAAAGCTATGTTTTAACCCATTAGTTTTGTTATAGAAGCAACTTTATAAATTATTTTCCTGAGAACTTGTATTTAAAATTTATACTGCTAGCTTGATTTATTTTCTTTTTTTGAGTACTAGGGAAAAGGTGCTGTTTTTCATGACAGTATAATTCTGTATTCTTCCAAATTTTCTGGTGTTTGAGTCGCTTGTGAGTAATTTCATACAAATGAGAAACAGCTAGTACTATATTGTGTTGATAACCAAGTTTTGTATGCAGCTGAAACAATCAGCTAAATTCATACTAAGTGCACGAAGTCCTGACAAAAGTCTGTGTGAGCTGTGGGTACGGTGTATTTCCCAGAAAAAAAAAAAAAAAAAGTATATATATATAAAAATCTGCTTTAGGTAAATCTTTGCTATAAACTTGGCCTGACTTGCTGGTTGTTCAGGGTGTTTTCCTTCGGGTGTTGACCTGACATGTTCTAAAGCATCATCTGCTGTGAGAGCAATGCAGGATGACAGGATTAAAGCTTCTGGAGAAAATCATGTTTGTTCTTGACTGAAAGAGGAAATGGTATAACAAAAAGTAAAGGCAGGAAGAAAGGTAGTAGCCGTGAGTAATAATTTATAAATGCAGGCCTTATTCATCATGCCTGGGCAAGGGGGAGACTACTAACAATGCTGTTAGTCACACAGATTGCTTGCCTATCTGGGATTCTTTGTGGGGCAGTAAGGAGGGAAAATATAAAAAAACCCCAAACCCCAAACAAGCCCAACCCCAAGAATCACAACATATACTGCACTTGTGACTTACTGCTGGTGGTGAGACACTGCAGAACTGAGCTAAAATATTGATTTGACTTTTTTAATCTGTATCGATGTTGTCCCGCTTTACTTTCCAACTGTTAATTTACAGGCTCACATGAAAGCTCAAAAAGCAAGTAAAGAACAGCAATTTGATATAATGAACAAACATTACAAACAGCTTGAGAGTCGCCTGGATGAGATGCTCTCTAGGATTGCTAAGGAAACTGAGGAAATCAAGGACTTGGAGCAACAGCTCACTGATAGTAAATTTTTCTTTTCTTGCACTGTTTCTTGTATCTAGGATAACATGACAATTGAACTGAGGATTCACTTTTGTTTATCTTTGCTTAAATTAAATACAGAATGTGTAGGAAGAAGTTGAAAACTATTCTTAACTAATCTAAAAGGAGACTTGGTGTACATTTTTTAATTTTTTTTTTTTTAGTTGCCTCACTTATATGTGGTTGGGAGAGGGTAGTTTGCAGGATTTTATTTATTTATTTGTTTGTTTGTTTATTTGTTTATTTATTTCCTTAAGGTGAGGGGGAAGCAAACAACTGCTCTAAGTGACTGATTTGTTGCTCTGGGGTTCAGGATCAAAATGTCAAGGCAGGAAGGCCCTTTATCAAGTCTGAGCTGAGTGTTTTGTTGATTACTTAACATAGCCTTATGATCTGCAATTTTGTTGTCCCAGCAGAAGAAAGGATTGCTCTGCTTTTAATTGTATGAGTGAAGTATTGATAGTTCAATACCCTTATGATGATGCCTTTTCATTTATACTTCAGATAATAATCTAAAATATTAAAGAGCTGTCACGTAGCTAGTACTTGAGCTGACTGAGATTTGGTCATATGATTGTAGCCTCTGTAGAAGTGTCTTTTACATCAGTTTGATCCTCTGAGTTTTGGAAACTGACTTAATAAAGCCAATGAACTAAACTTATGTATACGTTTACTATATAACTAGTCTATGTGAAAGTAAATGTCTCAGAAAAGAATATGAATATAAAAATTGAAACAAAACTGATTTAGTTATAAAGGTAGTAAATGTCATCTTAGGTAGGGGATGGGAATGCACAAGGAACTGCATTTTCTTTTTAACTCTGCCAGTGATCAGGTTAATAAGGTAATATGGGAACTCCTAGCCTTTAAAATACTGCACAGGCTTTTCTGCTGGAGTTCTAGTTTCTTGTTGTTACTATGTATTTCAATAGGTGACCATCTTAAGATTAAGAAAGGCAGTTTTGTTTGTTTCATAAATAAGTGAGATATCTTAACTATCTCAAATTTGTTTTGCATTTCTGCAGGTCAAATAGCAACAAACGAAGCACTGAAAAGGGATTTAGAAAGTATTATCATTGGATTACAGGAATACCTGGAAAGTGTTAAGTGTCAGGCAAAACAAGCCAATGATGAATGTAAGGAGTTGCAGAAGGATAAAGAATCTTTGCTACAAAGATTGGCAGATCTAGAGGAGGAAAGAAACAACCTGGAAATAGTTGCCATGGATGCTGAAAAGATGAGAAAAGTAAGGCTTAATACTATGTTTCTTCTCAAATTCAGATACTTAAGAATAAGCTTGAAAACAATTAACAAAGGACCAAAGCACAATTTCTTGGACAAAATATTTTTTTTTGTATGGTAGCTTCAATCAGATGTGCCCACACACTTTAAGAGCATTTGGCCTTTAAACCTGGTTGCAAGAGACACACAGTAAATCTGTACTTTGTGGAAGATGTCTCAGAAATGCAGCCTTTACCTTTCAGACATTACTAAAAATAGATTTGCAATCAGTATCATAGTGAATTGCATTAGTGAAAACTGTCTGGACTCTAACTGAGGATGTGCATGTTGCTAGCTTGCATCAGTCCTATCAACCAATTACTTAGAGAGCTGTCTTAGTATCCTGATAAGTTTTATGTAAACCTTAATACCAGGAACAAATGTGTATCACTTTAAGCTACACCTTTCTAACTGAAGTGTAGATTTACGTACAGTCTGTCACAGTAGTGTCATTGACCTGATCTAGGTATGTAGTAGTACCACCTAGCTTTAAGTTTTAATGTTTAGAGATTAGGGTTAGTGTCTCTGTTTTGATCTATCTGCTGTCACATTGATGATGAGTTCCTGAATAACAGAGAAAGAGAGGCAATGTACTCTAAGAAATCCTGGCTGTCCTGTGTATGTATTTCTAAAATGAATGTAAAATTCCAGGAAATTACAATGCTCAAAGGTGCACTCCAAGAGCAGCGAGAAATAAACGAATCGCTTAAAGATGCACAAGGGGACATCAGCGCTTATGAGGCTGAACTGGAAGCCCAGCTAAGAGACAGAGATGCTGAAGCCAATCAGCAAAAAGAAGAGTTTGAAAGACTGAAACAACTTAGCCAGGTAAGAACAGAGCTTTTATGTTGCCAGAGGGATAATCTACCCTGGTGCGAGGGACAGCCAAGCTTTCCTCCATACCACAGCTCCAACATTGACTTGCAAATAATTGTTGGTTTAGGTGTGCCCCCAAATGCAAGTTTGCTAGGATTTATAACTCTGCATTGAAGCAAGGTACAGATCATTTGGGGAATATTACTACCCCATACAGAATATTCACCGTATTTAAAGGGAAAATGATAAACTGTATCTCTTTGGAAAGAGATAACCACGCACACATCAAAGAAGTGATGCTAAAGCAGTCCTGTGAAAAGTAGCAGGTGAAAGACAAAGTTTGCCTTTGCTCTTTGTAGTAGAAACTGAGTTTTATAGCAAATCTTTTTTTTATTTATTTTATAATATATTGTAAAGTAGTAGCTTTTTTATGGGGAAGAACAATGTATGCTTTAATTTGTACAGTCCCATTTTATCTTACTGTTGAAAATCCTCATTTGGATTTGTGTATGATGATGATGTACAGTAACTACTATATTGGTTCAGTTTCCATTCGTCAGAAATCAACATGGTGGGTTTTTTGCAAGACATTTTCCAGATGGCAGGCAGAAATGAAAATGCAAAACAGGAAAGTGTGGTATTCTGTCCCCAACCCCTCCAAGTCTTTCAGTTTTGATGTTTCAGGAAAAACTTCAAAGCTCTCTGTAGAACACAGATAAAATGTAAATCTGTCAGTTACCTAGTGGGTAGGACATGCTCATGCTAGGTCTAGATTAGAATTTGCAGTACCAATGATTTTTTAGGAAATATACCTGTTACGTATATGTGGTGATGGGTTGATTTGGGATGGTTGGAGTTGGTTTGTTGGGGTTTTTAGGAGATGTTGTCATGCTGCTTTATGAAATATAGCTGTTGAGTATTTGGGTGACAGGTTGGGGTTGGGAGTGGGGATATTAAACTGAAGGTTTTCTGTGTTTGTAGATGGAACTGTCAGCCCTGCAAGCTGAACTTGAAAAAGAAAGGCAAGCATTAGAGAATGCTGTGACCAAAGCACAACTAGCAGAAGAGAAGGAACAACAAAATTATAAGCTCCTTTCTCAGTTCAAACAATTGCAGGTGAAGTATTTGTTTCCTTTAAAAAGTTACCTGATACACAGTATGTTCCCCCAAGGCGAAACTGTAAGAATTTTAAAGGATTCTGTATGAATCTGTTTTGAGGGTCAGTAGTATTTATGACTTTCCCTGACTTTAATTTTCTTGTCCGGAGACCCTACACCATAGTCTTTTATCTGTCTATTTTATTTATTTAAATTGACCTTTGAAATAATTTCAGAGCTGCTCAGTTATGTTGCAGAGGGATTGATAAATTGTTATATGTATCTTAATTTCCCACAAGCTTCATCCACTACATGTCAGTAAGAAAACTATTTGGATGCAGAAGAAAAAAACTGATCAAATACCTAAAGCAGAATTTATTGCCTCTGTTTAAAGCTGCAGATCCTGAGGAATCTTACTTAATTGCCACAAAATGGTAATGACATCTAAGTGCAATAGGCAACAGAGCTTGTGATCCTTGAACTCACAGGAATTGCATGAACTGTATAGGTGTACAGAAACACCTCTACTTTAATACAGTGACATATATCACGGCCTCATCTTAGGAACTGAGATTAGAAACTGAGTGTTCCTCTTGCCTTTGGGCAATGTGGTCTAGTGGAGGGTGTCCCTGCCCACAGCAGGGGGGTTGGAACTAGATGATCTTTAAGGTCCCTTCCAACCCAAACCATTGTATGATTCTGTGATTCTTCCTAAAGCTGCTGAAAGGCTCAATCACAACAGGATTTCTCTAGGCAAGAATAACACACTGAGTTCAAGATCTTCAAAATATGGCTGGTAAAGAAAAACATAATGAAGGGAGGTTTAAGTGCTGTGTGATTAAAGCAACTTCCCCTGTTGTGGGAAGGCTGGATTCAGTCCTCCTTTGTATCTAGATCTCTCTTTCCTATCTCACATACTACTCAGAGGACTCTTTCTTTAAAAAATGGAACAAACAGAAAAACCCAACATCAACAAGTCCAAAACAGACCTAGGTATTAAAAATTCTAGCTTCTACCATTTGTGTATTTGTTTGCTTATGGTTGTGTGAGTGGGTTTTTTTTGTCTTGTCTTTTTTTTCTAGGGAGACAACAATCTCCTGAAACAGCAGCTTAAAGATCTTCAGAATCAGCTAAACCATGCAGTTGGTAACTTAATTCATCCTGAGGAGGTCTTAGCTCGTATAAATGAACTCAAGCAAAAGCTTCAGACAGGAGTTGGAGAGATTAAGTGAGTAAAATAAAAGTACAAGTAGTGTTAGATTTGTGTGTGTGAAATTGGTAAGTACAGGAGAGCAACAAGGTACTTGTGCTGCATCCTACTGAGTGCAACTTGGGGCAGTTCAAATATGAACTTCAGCACCCTGTGGTTCTTAAGAGCACATCACCTGAGCTCAGTAATTACATTGCTGAGGGAAGTATGCCGTCCCCTTGGGTTTCACTGCAAGGGACAGGGCAAACTTCCCTCCCTGCTTTGTCCCCAGTAACAAAGAACAGTATAAATAGTGCCAGGGTGGAGGTCTGTGTGGAGTGTAACATGTGCACCTGAATTCATTTACACTGGATGTCTTAAACTTGCACGATTGTACTAGACTTTTTTATTTCGGTATCTGGTATCACAATTTAAAATTGCTATGTTCTATCTTGGAACCTGGATTTTTTTCTTTCAGATGTCAGAACTCAGCTGATGTCTTAGGGAAAAGCCTTGCAAATCTGCAAAAAGAATTTAATGACATCCTTGCTGATGCTCAGAGAGAAAAAGAGAAAGCATGGACTAGACAGAGACAATTGCAGGAAGAAATGGTATCCCAGCAGGAAAAACTGGAAGAAGTACAGGAGAAATATAGACAGGCAGGTATCAAAACAACAAAAGCAAGAGTAAAACAATTTCAGCTTAGACTAAAAAATGTAACTTGCAGGTGAAGGATCGAGTTTCACTATGAATGTAGCTTTGCTACCCTCCATCTTTCAGAGAAGTATGATTTTACTGACGGTAGACAAATTGAATGCATTTGCTTGTCAGAAACAAATTTGACAACTCACATCAGAGCAGGATGCCGTTACTCATGATTAGGAATACTAATTATTATTAGAATTCTGATTTTCCTCTTGTGCATAAATATATACTATGTAGTAATTTTCATTGTAAAGAACCTGTATAAGCAGCCAAAAGTTTCCAAAGAGGGAAAACAAATAATTGACCACTTCCATGCTATGTATACTGTGAAATTCTGGTTAAAGTAGTGAAATACATCAGTCATTCTTTCTTGCTTTTGTTAAGTGTTAAATTGGATAGTTGACAGGACATGTGCTCCTTTGCAGCCTTTTGTTGGCTTTTATTTTATATAAAGCTTGCAAAAATATTGCATGGAGGAGAAGGGCTTAATGTGCATTAAAACTTCCAGAGGCAACTCTTAATTTTAGCTGTATGATAACAAGGAGAGATCTACTTTTTGGTGTTCATGTAACAGCGAAGTCTTTTTTGTGGATTTTTTTTTTTTTTAATTAATAGTCTTTATGATTTTTGCCTGATTATTTGGTGAATTAGAATTTACGCTCAATGATATGTCTCAGAGGCAACAAAGAGTTTAATTATAGGTAGAAAAATACCACCAGTAACCTCCTCAAAAGGTCAATATACATACCACTACCAAAATAACTTGGGCACTTTTCAAATGTAATAGAATGGCAAAGCAGTTCTTTTTTTCTCTCTCTCATGGTACAAAGCATGCTGGTAACTGCACTCCCCAAAAGTTGTTTAAATCATTAAAATAGAGTGGCTTTTGGTTGGAAAAAAAAAAATAATTCTGGCTACTCATTCTAACTTATTTCACTTCTAGGTTAAAGCTGAAAACAGGCAGAATAAGAACAAAGTCCATCAGTTAGAGAATGAAATTCAACATTTACATGAAAAAATAAAGAGCATGGAAGAAATTCAGGGCCTTGCTGATCAACAGCTCCAAGAGGCAGATGAAGAGAAAGAGACTATTCTTGCTCAGCTGGAAGATTTAGAGAAAAGGGTAGGAATGAATAAGGACAAGTGTGTTTGCTCACAAAAAGATGATTCAAAAACTTCTGAATTATTTTGCTTTCTAAGATAGATCAAATACAGGAAGGAACACAGAGGTTAAATATAACATCTTTCTTTCCTTAAATTTTATTGGTGGTCCTTGCTTTAGTGGTTTGGTTTGTGTGGGTTTTTTTTGTTATTTCTATGTATACAATACAAAATGGGATATGTGCGGGGGGAAAAAAGTCATACCGACAGAAAGCCTTTCTTCCATGCTGTTTTTTTACCCAAAACTTATAAAACCTATTGTTTTCCTGGTTTCAGAAAAAAATAGAAGATGCCAGGGCACAAATGCAATTTGTTAATCTAGATAAAGAACTGAAGGAATTAAAGAGGGCAATCATCACTTCAGATAAACTGGCAGCTACAGAACTCTCCATTGCTAAAAATCAGCTAAAGGCTCTTCATGGGACTGTTCTCAGAATTAATCAGGAGCGAGCTGAGGTAAATCAACATTGGTAATTAATTGCTTGTATATAAGCAGTGCTTTCTAATGCCATCATAATGGGAACTATCCTGGTGGTGTCTTTTAAATTCAGCTTCACAGTTTTATTCCGAGTTAGTTGTCCTGCTGCACAGGAGCTCTTGCTTCAGACAGAGTCTGGTCTTGAAATATAGTAGATGAATGCCTGAGTAAATTTGGATATGGACAGGCTTTCTTGCTGTGTGTTGGAAGGTTACACAGAGGCAAGTTTAATCTCTTATTAACTGAAAGTTAAACAATAGAGAGTACGTTGTTACGTAAGATAGAAAAGCAAAAGAAGGGACTATGGAAGTTTGTTCTCATGCTTCAAGTTTTTAAAACTGGGAACCGTTTTTGGCTATGTACTAACATCTCCTCTGTAGAAATACTGTAAAGTTAAAGGAGAAACATTATTTTACATAAACTGCCAGTTTCTGGAATTTCCAGAGCAGACAAGTGCTGATGCTTTTTATTAGTCAGCTTTTCACAAAGCTGCATGAGCCATCTGCAAGCTTGTGAAGTATTCCTGCAAACTAAAGCTCAAACTAGAATTTCAATTTTAGGAGATTGAGGAAGCCGAAGAGTTCTGTGCTGAGGCAGCTCGTGCAGCTCGGGATCTTGCCAGAGCAGAAGCAGAAATAGAATTGTTACAACAACTCCTCAAAGAGAAGGAAGAACAAGTAGGTTGCAGTGATGTTTGCTCTATGCTATGTGAGGAACGTAAAATACTTAGAGATATTGGTTCACTGAGTTTCTGAAAATGCCGCATTTAGAGGTGTCGGCCCTGCCCTTTTTCCTCAAGTTTTCCCAAGGCATGATGTTCTTCCCTCCCCTGACATCTGCCAAAGGACAAAATGAAAACCTCAGTGACTTTTAAGAAAAACTCTCACCACTTCACTGCTTTAACGTGGCTATGTCTGTAAGCCTCACCCATAGGAGGGAATGGGAAGAACAATTTTGTTGCATCAGTTTGTACACACGTTTTGCTGAATGAGCATTTTTGTAGGGACAGATGGGCATGTTTGAAAAAGTTCTAGCAAATCTAATTTAAACTGATTTGCTTTGATTTAAAATTATGTTTTAAATAGTTTCAGCATGAAATGGAGAAAGCTGGCGAGAAGACTGTTGCATCAAACTCCCAGAAGTTTGAAATTGATAAACTAAAGGAAGCTATGGAGCAACAAAAAACAGAAATTGACCGTTTAAGATGGTTGTTGGATAACATTGGTACAGGTAATCTCTCTCTCTCTCTCTCTCTTTTTTTTTTTTTTTTTTTTTCCCCTCCTCTCTACTTCTTGTGAAATGGAGTGAATGCAGAAGATGTCACTTTCTTCTCCATATTTCTCACTGTTTGATCTGGGAAGCTGTTCAGAGCTCTGGAAGTTTATTCTAGGAGAATGAACTGTTGAGAATACTTTCCTTTACAGTTCCTATATGGGATACGTTCAGTCCTAAATCACTGTGCTTCCTTGGATTCTCTGTATCTATGTGCATGAAGCAAACAGCAAAACAAGCTGCAGTTGTGTGAAGTGTATGGGTCTTTGCATCTTCAAATATGAAGAATGGAAGAAATGGATGGTTGAGGACCAGCAGTGGCACTAGCACTTCTAGGTTTCCAGCTTTGCCAGTTGACCTCTGGAAATATTCCAAAAAGCTGGAGAGGGACTGTTTACAAGGGCATGGAGTGACAGGACAAGGGGGAATGGCCTAAGCTGAAGGAGGGGAGATTTAAATAAGATCTGAGGCAGAAATTCTTCCCTGTGAGGGTGGTGAGGCACTGGCACAGGTTGCCCAGAGGAGCTGTGGATGCCCCATCCCTGGAAGTGTTCGAGGCCAGGTTGGATGCGGCTAATGGAGCGTGTCCCTGCCTGTGGCAGGGGGGGGGGACTGAATGGGCTTTAAGGTCCCTTCCAACCCAAACCATTCTAGAATTCTATGAAATCTAGTTAAGTTTTGCCTCAGTTTAAAGAATCAGAATGACAGTATGTTAGTTTTCATTAGTTTGTATTAACACTTTTTACAACTACTTAGAAAACACTAATTGTGTTTATACTGCTCTAGAACATTATCAGAGATCTATAGACAAGGAAGAATGACCATCAGTTACCTGTATATGAACTTGTATTTCTACAATCTTGCAAGGGCCGGGGTATATCTACATGGCTGTATAATGTTTAGTTTGTTTCCCCCGGTAATTCATTTTTTTAAAATATTGTTTCAGATTAACAAGATAACAGTGAGGGAAAAGCTTTAAACTGTTACTTCAATTAAAGCTGAATGCAGTATTTATGACTTAATTATTTGTCTTATATGTCTATAAAACTGTGATTAATTGACAGGTAATAAAGATGAAATTGACAACTTACAAGATGAAATTGCAGCACTCAGAAATGTGCTTTCATCCCAGAATGATTACATCACCAGTATAGCGGATCCATTGAGAAGGAGGGGATACTGGTATTACATGCCATCATCGCAGGTCAGAAATAAAAGTCCTATTATGTGGAAAGTCATTTGATATGGGAAAGTCCATTATAAACTTGCTAGGTGTGGGAGGAACTCAAGAAAAATTACTGGCTGGCATAGAAGAGAAATACTGAAACAACGCATGCAAATGTTCCGTGATAGAGGGATTACTGTGTAGAAATAAGCATCTAGTATACATAAAATTTGGAGACAACTATTCAAAACACAGTTCTGTAAATTCACTTAGGTAAAGGTTTAAAAGGGGACACTGCAGACAAACATTTCTTGCAAAACACTGTCTGAATTTAAGAGAAATATTGTTAAAAAATATTTAGTGCTCTCTTTAAAGCAGCATCATGCTTGGAAGTAAGAGAAAGCAGAGTATGTATAGCCTGTTCTTGAAAAATTAGTGCTTTAAAATGTCTACAACAAATAATTTGTTTTACATTATTTGTTATTTATAGATTAACACATATGCTCTTTTCTTTAGGCTTCAACTCCCAGTTCCCGTAGCACAAAAGATTCTGGAGTTTGTTTACTCTGTTCTGGCTCATCCCCACCCAGACGAGGGTGCGGTGACAACAGGCAGTGTGGGAAGGAAGGCTTGCCCAGTCATGGAGGATGTTGGGTTTATTCACCTGTCAGAAATAGGTTGTACAAATCAAATTCTGGTAAAGGTAAGTCAGTCTCATGGCCTCGGAATGTTTAGGAGCGTACTAAAGATGGACTCGCTTAGAGTTCATAGTGAATTTTTTTGATGTGTGTGAGTGAATTATGAAAGTGTATTACTGTTGAGCTCGTTATTCAGCTTAAGCAGTGTTTATTACATTTTTGTACGGTACATAGAATGTGTGTTATTTTAAAATGTGCATTTGAAGAATATATCTTACTGAAAAAGTGATTTAAAAATAACTTTTTTCCTTTTTTTCTTTCTTTTGGTAAAGATAGAAGAGTGAAAGGAAACAGTGAAGGAAATGACGAAACTTGTGTTCCCAAAGACCCTCCCTTTGTACCACCACCTGGTACAGTTATTTACACGGTCCTTCCAGATGGTGCCCCCGTACCTCAGGGAACTGTGGTTTATGGCCCTCCTCCTGCAGCAGCAAATGGAGGTTCAGTTGCTCCTGGATCTGTCATCTATGGCCCACCTCCTGTGGGAGCCCAGGTTGTTTACGGCCCTCTTCCTCCAACCTTCACTGTCCCGCTCATTCCTGTTGGAGTGCTTCACTGCAATGTGCCTGAACATCATGATTTGGTAAGATGGAGCTGTACGCTGCAGGTTTAACCATAGGCAACTGACTTAGGAATGGATTAGGAGCATCTGTTAACATATGCTTTCTCAACAAAACCGCAAACTACTAAAACCTCATTTTCACAGATTAGATTAGTCCATTTAAAAAAGAAAAAAAAAAAGTCTCTGCTAGGAAGGCTCTGGATCTGAGAGAGCTTGCTGATAAGAATGCTCCATCTTCAGTGCTAATAGTCCAGTCTTTGCTGTCTGTAGTTGTTCCTGTGTCTCAGGAGGACTGAAATAGAAAATAGGTCTTAATTTTGTTGTTCTGTTTCCTGTATGTAGGAGAGCGAAGTCTCAAGGCTGGAAGACACTGTGTATTATTTAAAGTCTCGGAAATACAAAGATAAATGGTCAGAGGCAGCTGAGCATAAATACAAAAAAGAGGTGGAAGAATTGCATCAAAACATCGAAGAACTTCTGCATGAAAGAGAAGAGTTGGAACATGAAGTAGCAGAGCTACGAAGAGCAACTCAAAAACATAACAAACGCATGTAAGGATATTGCACTAGAATACATTTAAAGTAAACGTGGAAATACCTAAACTTTTTTCCAACAAAAGTCAATTTTGACTTGTTTACAGTTAATGTAAATGGACTAGAACTTCAAGAGGCTCCAGGCCTCTGGCATTTTGTATTTTAATTCCATGTCTTTCTTCCTGACCTTTTTAGGGACTTTATTGAAGGGTATACAAACGACGTTATTGCAGAATTGCAGTTAGAAAAGTCTCTTAAACACCATGAAGATATTGCAGATGAAATTGAATGTATAGAAAAGACTCTTCTGAAACGACGAGCAGAGCTTAGAGAGGCAGATAGGCTACTTGCAGAAGCTGAAGTGGAACTTGAGAGCACACGGGGGAAGGTAAGTAAAGCCATAACTCTAAGTGCAGAAGGACTTATGTGTTGCATTAAGATTGTTTTAAGCAGGGGATTTTTGTTTGTCTAAGCAGTTTATTTTCACTTGGATAACCTGAAGCCTCTTAAAATGCTTCTATTTGAAAATAAGTCATGGGATAACCTGTGCTAAAAAAATGTTTCAGTCATTGCCAAAGAGGAGGAAGCTTTTCTGCTCTGGACAAGGGAGGAGAAATGGTTCTACTTCATGGTATACAAAGGGAGAAAGCTGAGGTGGAATAGTCAAGCCAGGAGGAGGTCATCTTCAGACAGCTAACCTGCAGGTTATGGATGTGGAAAGCATAAGATGGGAATGTAATGTCTCAATCTTCAATTTTTGCTCTAGACTAAAGACACTATTCAAAAGCACAATCATGCCAAACAGTATTTGTCCCGCACTGAAACTGAGGCAAAGGAGCTGGAGCGAAGGGCTCAGGACATGGCCGTTAAACTTGTGAAAGCAGATCAACAATTAAGGTATGCTGTTCTTGTGAATGTGTATCAAATGGGGATGAGGCGAAGAACAAGATTCTTTCAAATATAAAGATAATGCTTTTGGAGAGGGAGAGCTGTTAAAATGTTAATACGAAAAGGCATAAATGCTTCTTTAGGTTATTACAGGCAGATACAAGGGATTTAGAACAGCGTAAGAGGGAACAAGAAGGTATTTTGAAGGAAATCAACAAAATGGTGGCTGCAAGAGACTCTGAGTTCCAGTCATTAAACCAGAAGATAGAAATGCTAACTGAAAGGTAAGTATTTTTAATTTACTGTAAACTATGTTAGATAAAGTAAAGATGTCCACCTCCAATAAATTACTGTCTAAGGTATTCTTGTTTCTTCTGAGTCACATTTTTATTCTCACTGTCAGTCTTCAGAAGCTTCAAGGAGATATTCAAGTTGCAGAAGGTAATGAAGAACATCACCTCCAAATCCTTAGAGAAGCAGAAAACCTTCTTCAAGGCAAGAAAACAGAATTGGAAAGATTGAAAGATCAGGTGAGGCTTTTCTGATTAACTCTGGACTGTCAGTTTTGTTGGTTTTGATGTAACTGAAAGCTGAGAAGAATCTTAAGTTCTGAACTGCCTTGGCTGAAGAATTGAATTCTTAAGTTTATTTTAATGTTGGTAATTTGAATTCTCCTTGGTTTGTCGTATAAGTATGACCCCAATCTCTCTGGCGTTTCTGCCTAATGAATGTTACTGCAGAGTTCTCTCTGACAATTCTTACTGCACTCTCTGAGGTACAAGACTGCAGTGGCCAGATCAGCACTTACTCTTCAATATTGGCTATGTTATACAGGTTTAGCAAATGAAGCTCATTGCTCTGATGGGATCTTAACGTGTTATGCAATTCAAATAAATCTCTGGCAGGGAACAGCGTACTGCACTTGTTCTCGTGCATGTGTGTGGTTACAAAAATAAAAGCCTTCAAATGCTTCTTCTGTTAAACTTCTACATTTTAGATTACTGCTCAGCAACAAGAGCTCTTGTTTCTGGAGCAACAGTTAAACCTAAGAAAAGAAGAGCTCCATGTCCTTCAAGACTGTATTTCCCAAAAGAAAGGTGACCTCAAAGAAGCTCTTCGAGATGGAGAAACTGAAGCAAATGAAAAGCTACGCCAAATAAGAGTAACTTTTCCAAATGAGTCTTCACTTCATTATATTTCTGAAGAACAGCGAAAGAATAGAAGTATCAAAAATATCCCAACAAGTTTCCACAAAATCAGTTTTGCTTTCTACAACCTCCCAAAACCCACTGAAAAATAGAACAAGCAAGCTTACGATTCTGTGCTAAGAGCTTGGTCTAGATGCACAAATTGGAACTCCTGAATTCCAGTAATACTTACCGAATTAGTCCCTTGAGAACTAAATTATATTAAATAGAAATCTCGGAATGACTTAGTGTTGCTGAGACAAGCAGCTTCTAAAGCAAATCAGTTTGATCAGTGTGTGTAAAACACAACAAAGCTGGTGTAAGTCAGCTCTGTCTCCATCCTCATTTACTTAGAAAGGATTCTTACTTCCTTTCTGAAATAAAAACAAAGTATCAAGGTTCATTATATTTTGTGGGGGCTTTTTGTCTGACTTCCTGTTTTAAGGCCTATATACTGTTTACTTGAATGAGGGTGTTGTGGTCAGACTTGTAGATCAAAATCTCTGCAAGATTGTTACTTTAAAATTGTCCACAAACAGGACTTTAAGTTAAACATTGTGGGGGTTTTGTTTATAGTTACAGTTAATGGTGTAAACAAACTCTGGAACTAAATTGATCAGAATATTGGTGGGAGACTCCTTAAATTTTATAAATATTTAGAACTTCTATTTAAAGGAAAAGTTTATTGAAAATGGCAAATAATGGCATTCCTTGTAACACTGATACATTTCCACAGGAAATAAAACTACTTCTGGAAGAGCTTAACGTTGAGAGGAAAGAACTGGATGTCCAGATTAATGAGAAAAGAGCACAGCTTTCCTTCATAAAGAAGGATATTGGAAAAGAGGAAGAAAATCTTCAAGGAATACTTGGGCAAATTACCAGGCATAAGATAGGTATGCCCTCGGCTTTACTAGACAGTATTTTGTGTGAATTGAGCTCCTAATTGCACATCCCTGCAGTCTTCTGTTCCTCACTCCTTTTGAAATACTGTGAATGGCTGCAGAGAAAGAGTTCCCTGGAATTCTTGTAGTTTACAGGGAGCTGACAGATACCCTTCGCTCAAGTCGAGGCAGTGTTTCATGCTGCTTTGTATCTGGGACGTGAGTTTTTCATGCCAGAGAAATGTGAGCAAATCCGTTGTCAGGACTGATCAGTTCATACTCGGCACTGAGTCGTTAGGGGACATTAGCTAATTGTGTCACATTCACAGAAGAAGTATTAAACATTGGGATGTGTGGGGAAATGGAGGAATCTCTTTCCCAAGCAGTTACATCCTGTCAGATTGTGGGAAGTATAAGCAGCGGCAGTTTGGAACTTCTGTACTTTTTCTGAAATATTTTCTTTCATTGTTCATCAGTGAGATAGTCTGTCCCAGGCTAACTCCCTAGGGAGTAGGAAGAGCACAGGAGACCTGGGGACCTGCAACTTGCTGGTAGAACAGCATCAGATACAATACCTGGTGTCTGACACAGCAGTTGAAACTGTGAAGAGTTTTTACAGGGATGATATCAGTACAGTGTCTCTTAATTTTTCCTTGGTGCTTTGCTTTTTTTTTTTTTTTTTTTCCTCTCCAGATAGAATGCATTTGATGTGCTTGTAATAACCTTTGATTTCTTTCATCTTACTAGAACTGAAACATGTTCTGGAGATGCTGGAGCTTGAAAATAATGAACTTCAGGGTTTGAAACTACAACATGACCAAAAGGTCAATGAGCTAGAAAAGACTCAGGCTGCAATTCTAGAAGTAAGTGTTTCTTCTATAGCTAATATAGTAACTGGAAGAAGAGATCTGCATATTCTGTGGTTCTGTTAAGATCTGGGCAACAGAGTCTTTACACTGTGAAATCAGTTTCTAGTCTGATTTCAGCTTGTCACAGAAAAGTCTTAGGTCTGCTTCGGCCCTTTAAAATAATGGGACTCTTTTTTTGGTGTGCATGAGGGAGAGAGGGCAAAGGACAGAAGGCTGTTCTGTGGCTGTAGAACGATGAATACTGTTTTCTTAGTATTAGCTTCCAGAGTCTGTCTGTCTGGATTCTATCTGTGTGGAAGACAGTTTACTAACTCAACTGGATGATCTTCTCTACCATTAAAAAGGTATTTTAGCTCAGCTGGTCTCTTTTTTTCTCTTTAGTGAATACAGACAGACATTCAACTTTGCTACCAGTGGGCAGAGAGGTCAGCGGCATCTCTTTGGCAGTCTCGTAGTAGCTACAGGATTGTTAGGTCAGAGTCCAGGATAGCCCTCCTCTACTTAGTTGTGCAATTCCAGAAAATCTAACATGCTTTTGCTAAGAGAGCATTTCTAAGCAGATATTTATATCTCTTTCTCTACTCCTTTCTGTGAAGGACAGGGAAAAGAAGGGACTAGTTGATATGCTTGGTGCCTTTCTATTACCACACTTAAAGTGATCACCTTACTACATTACCTGAGCATCTCGCAGCCCTTAATGTGGTCATTCTCGCAAAATCCCTGCGATGAAGGGATCTGCTACTCGTACAGATGGGGGGGAAAATGGTGGTTAAACTATGATGGAACAAAGAACTGCACCCCTATCTTCCAGTCCTCGTGCTCATAGTCATCATAACCTTCATTGTAAATACACTCAAATTAATCTGGCATTAAGCAGTTATCCCATTTGTAATGCGGTAGTAGCTAGAAGGCACTCCAGCCTGTGTATGATCTCTCTGAATGAAAGGTTCTTAAACTGCTGTAGCTAAAGATGTTAATAACTTGTGCTACTTCTTGACTGTATAAATGTGTTGTTTACAATGCCTTCTTTTGTAGGAGAAGTTAAAACTGGAGAAGATTCAGAGATTATTCCAGTGTCAGCAAGGGGAAGTAGACTGGCAGGAACAACTACTTGAGAAAGACCGTCAGGAAAATGAACATCTGGTTTCTCAAATGCGCACTCTGCAAAATAATATTGAGTCTTTGAATAAAGAAAAAGAAAAGCTTGAAGAGGACTGTCAGAGTTTGGAAAAGAAGTTGTCACAAACCAGAAGGTGGGGGGGAATTTTTTTTTCCTGCAGAGATCAGAAGTGATGGGATGTCTGTTTATCATAATTAAAAATACAGCTATAACTTTGAGGTGCCCAATTATACAGAATATGCTTTTTTTTATATCCTGTGGAGGTTTTATTTTAAGCATGTCTACAGTAGACTTACAGAAAATACTCAGCAATGAAGCTGATGAATGCAACAGCACATGTTATATCATGGCAGTGTGACGAGAAAAGTTATGAAAAGCAAAGTGTTAAGTCTTGGAACAGGACAGCTGTCTTGCTCTTACGACTACTAGGTAGCACTTGAGCTGAGAAGACTTACTGAAATGCAGCTGGTTTTAGAGTCCTCACCAAGTACTTCCAACAAACCGAGAATTTGTATTCGCATGTTACAGAGACTTAACTGCTACTGAAGATAGCAGCAGAACTGCATTGGCCAATGTAGAAAAAATGGAACTGGATGTTAAAAACCTGCAGCAGGAGGTAGATCTACTGAACAAACAAAAAAAATCACTGAATGGAGACATTATTGTTGTACAGAGAGATCTTCAAGGTAACGATCAATTTTTGGTTCTAAGCTGCAATATATTTTAAGATAAATTGTGTTAAAAGGTATACTGTAACTGTACTGTATGATACTAAATATCCAACATGCTCAAATATCTACAGGCAGAAAGTATTTAACATGTTGAAAAGACGGAAATTTTAGAAACTTTTTCTATTTTTTATTCATTTATGAAAAGAGATAATTTATTTGTATAGGTATTTCAAATTGATTGAAAATCTGTCACCAATATTTTTCTAGAAAAAAAGGAAGAACTAGAAACACTGAAAGGAGAATTAAATGACTCCAGGCAACAGCTTCAACTGGTAGAGCAGGTTAGTTTTGGTGAAATACGTACATATTTTCACAATTTTAGCACAGAATCGAGGGGCTTCATTTATCACAACAGTTGACGGTCCATCACCCGTTTTTTCATCTAGGTACATTAGCTCAAAATCAGACAGTTGCAGCGCTAATAAACAACGGCTAGTTTATTCCTTGTTCTTGCTGAGTTTGGAGTGGTGTGGACTACAGTAGGTACCTCACCAGATGAGATTTCTGGTTTGGGTTTTCTGTGTGCCAACTGCGGTGACTCTTCTAGTCAGATTGTTACCCCCAACTTGAAGTGCGGGGGATTTTGGTTTGTTTTGGGGTTATTTGGTTTGATGGGGATATTTTTTTCCTGTGGATTTGTTTGGGTTTCAATTTATCTTCTTTCTAGAAAACAATCCAGAATTTGTCATCGTTCTAGACAACAATCCAGACCCTGGTTTATTGTTTTTAGGAAGAAGAAATTTTTTTTTTTTAAGTAAAGCAGCATCTTCTGGCTCTTTATCTGATGGTTCCTATTGTTTTAATTCAGTCAGTGGCTGGTTTAAATGGAAGGTAATTTAAGTGTGATTAGGGATGATCAGTTATGTTCCTTCAAACGCAAGCCTTTTAGCCAGAGAGCTGTTAATTTTATCAGCTAGTTATGTCCCTTGATTTTATGTTTTATATTGCAGGATTTGAAAAATAATACAAAGCATCAGGATGAGCTGCTTAGAGAGCAGGCAACCCTGAAAGAAGATATCCTAGAATATTTAAGGAAACATAAGGATTGCCAAGAGAGACAGAAAAAGAAGGAGAACCAATTGCAGCAGCTCCAGAAAGAGATTGAAGAGAAGGAAACAGAACTTGCCAAACAAGAAGCGGTAATGAGCCTGCTGACTTGCCTCACTTTCTTCTGACCTCTAAAAATAATGCAGGCCGAAAGGTTTTGGGTGCACATTTACAAATAATAGACCAGTGCTTTAAGAAACACAAAGCTTCATTTTCAGAGGAAAAAGCTTCAACATTGTTTAGGTTTTGCTAAAACATGTGTGTCACAACAAAGGACTGTCATCCTTCTTGGCAGTGCCATCCTATACTGACCTGGTAACAAAACTGCTGTAAAACCAACACTACCCCGAGTGCAAGAAGGGTTGTGGGGTAGTGGGAGGCACTGTGCAGTGTGGTGTCATGGCTGCTGGTGTAGTGGATGGGGTGAGGAGATGGACTAGAACAGATTATTCTCTAGAATTCTGTCTTGTCAGCTGGATATAGTTCAGAGAACTTCTTCCTGTGCTGTTGATTTCTCTTGGGAGATGAGAAAACTATGGAGAGTACCTGAAATGCTACAATGGATTTCAAGTGAAACTAATCCAAGCTTAACTCTAGCTGCATTCCATAATTCCAAAACTAAGCAGAAAAATTTCCAGGGCTTTTTTTTATCCTGAAGTTTCCTTCTGCTTTTGACTGGATCACTATTGGCAGCTTGTTCTCTTGTATAGTATTTCTGTGCAAAGCTCAGCAACTGTTCATGAAAACTAGGACTTAGTTTTACTATAGGCATATAAGATTAACTTACGTTGGCTGAGCAGTTTCAACAAAGTGTTAACTAAAAGAAAAACCGAGGGAGTGGTACTGAAAATAAGAGGCAAGAAAAATTGATAAACTCTTTTTGCCAGTAAAGAGTATTAGACTACAGCTCTTTCCAATTTATGCTGCTTTAACTTCTATAATATCTTCTGGTGATGGAAGTTGGTGCTAGTTAAAGCTGGAAGTGGTGTTTTTTTGGCAGATTCTTCACCGCCTCAAGCAAAATTCAGAGCGTGAAGGGAAAAAAATGGATGAACATATTGCTAAAGCGAAAGATCAGAAAACGCTATTGGAAAAGGAACTAACAGATCAACAAAAGAAACTGGAGCAGGCAGTAACGAAAGTAAGGCTGGCAGAAGAAAACATCAGGAAGCTGGAAAAGGAGGAGTCTCGATATGCAGCACTTGAAGAAACTGTCAGAAAAAGCAGTAAGATTAATTGCGCAAACAAATCGTTACCATTTATGGGTTCTAAGTCTAATGAAACCAACAAATACTTCTGTTAATCTCACTTGGTTTCTAATGCAGCCCCTGGATTGACTCTCAGTCCTTAAATTGACTTGTTCAAAGAACTGAGATTCTAAAGCCAACTGGTGGTCTATCCCCTCTCACTTTGTGTCTGTTCTTACAAACCATTGCTTAGCACATTAATGTGTTTGAAAAATATCTAATGTGTATGCAGTATGCCAAGAGACTTACACTTCTGCTAATCAGGATTGTTTTAAAAAAATTTTCATTACAGAACATCAGCTCTCAGAAAAAGAATTACAATTACAACAAAAAAACAGAGACATACAGTCTCTTCAAAAAGAACTGGAAGTCTCCAAGTCTGAGCTAAACCATCTCCAAGATCGGATAGCATCAGAGAGGAAAAAAGCAGAAAAACAAATCTTGAGTCTGAAAGAAGCAATGAAAGTGCAAAGGATGCAGCTTGAAAGAAAACTGCACGTAAGTCCTGGCTGAGGGGAGAATGTTTGGGGATCTGGGTTATTTTTAAACAGCAAAATGATAGAACACCCATTTTTATTGTGGGAGGAACAAAGTAATGCATTAATGTCATGACTAGACAGAACTTGAGGCAACCAAACTCTGGTATTTCTAGACTGGGCTGCAGAACACCTCTAGTTCCTCCTATTTAATGCTGTTTCTGCCTTTTAACTTGAAGAAATTGTGTTGTGTGGGTTCTCTTGATTCATTTTTCTGCAGTGGATGCTCACAGTTAAAGGCAATCCTTCTGCATTTTCCTAGGAACAAAAGCATGAAAATACCTGTTTGCAGGGTGATGCAGCAACTGCTGAACAAGTAGCACACAGTAACCAGGAGCCAGCCAGACGCCTTGTTGAGGACCTTGGGCAGATCCAGCAGGACTACGTGGATCTCCACACCCAGGTATAACTGAGGGAGAGCTGTCTTCCAGACAAGTTTGTTGTACTGGTTTTCAATCTCCTCCTGTCCACTGTATCACAGTTAGAAATAGACTTACTTAAAATTGCAGTGTGATCATTCCCCCAAGGTTCCCCCCCCCCCCCCAATCTGGGAGAAGTTAAGCTTTGTTAGCAATCAGTACGATCAGGCAGCTTGGTAATCCCTGTTAAAAAATGAACAAACCAACGCCAGCCGGCCAGTCACGTGCAGAGTTCTCAGAGCAAGGCTGCAAGTTCTTAAAGCAGCACTTCATTTGTCAGATCTTGAAGGCCGTGGCAGAGTGGCACGGTTGCCTTCCCATCGCACGGTGAATTACAGGCACTGTTTAGGCCGGTTCAAGTGAATCAACCCCTCTCGCCCAGAAGAATGACACCTGAAAAGGAGACCGTGTTCTCTGGAGGTGGACTGAGGGTGGAGGGGGTGAGTCCCAGCTATTCGTTAGGAGTGAGTGGATTTGCGTGCTCCCAACAGACATAGCAAATGCACCATAACGTCTGCTGGGAGCTCAGTTCAGGCAGTGCTTCAGTCAAGCATTCAGACGCTGGCTCCTGTTTACGTTATGGTTTGGTAATAGGTACTTGGCATAACTAGTCATAATTTATGCAAATCACTGTTATCAACGTTAAAGCGACTCAGTAGGCAGTGAAGAACTTGTTAGTGCCAACCTGGGCCAGCATTTCCTTCTTATGATACTCACTTTAATTTAAAGGTGATTCCATGTTGTCTGATTCCTAATCTTTTAATAAATCCCTTATAAATTGTTTTAAGTCCTTTAAGAGTAGGGTCCTTCAGAGAATAACGTTGTCACCAACTAGAAAGCGTTCAGGGAAGACTATGCAAGATCAGAGTATGATTAGGTTTAAGTTAAGGAGTTGTGTCCCAGTAACTTTAGTCGCCTCCATCACCATCTGAGGGGGTTCACAGGCAAAGTTAATGTCAGAACTAGGGCAAGATCTGTTCAGAGGTTTTGTGAAAGTAAGAAATAAGCCTTGTTTGGTTATGCAGGAAAATCCCTCTGGATTGATGCATTTGTAACGTGACAGCAAAATGGTGAGACTGTTCTATGGTGTAGGTTAAAACTCAAGAAGACCTGGAAAAGAGACAAAGGGAAATAAAGGATGCAGCAACGTTGCTTAAACTGGAGGTTGAAGATGAAATTAGGATGGGGTTTAAATCTTTGAGTCCATCTTCTCTGGAACCAGTGGAAGATTTGGATGCATCGTCTGAAAAACAGGGAAGTCTGCAGTGTGAATCTGATAGCTTGGAGGAGACTGGTCCCTTTGCTGCTGTTGACAAACGACTCCTCTCACTGGAAGAAAAGTTGAATCTTTCTAAAGTCTTCCTAATGGTAAAACGCTTTTGAACAGTAGCTGCTGCTCATGCTACAGCTGAGCACGTCGGTATTGGTACCTTTAGCTGTTACGCTCTGTTACTAAATGTGCTTTTGTTTCCAAAAGGACGAACACTGGCGTGGAGAGGCTCTCCGAGAGAAACTGCAGCATCATGAGGATCGGCTGAAGGTGACCCGTCTCTTCCCAGTCTGTCTGTCGGGTCCCTTCTGAAAATAACGCACAGGACCCAGGAGCGTGGGGGTCCTGGCCTACCCACGCTGTGCACACAGCAACTACCTGCAGCCTACCTTGGGGGGGGGGCGGCAGTAAAACAAGCCTAGCAACTGCATGCCTTATCAGGATGAAAAATACTAATTAACAGTTAATTGGATGTTTGAGTATTCCAACCAGATACCCTCACTGACATCATACTGTGGTATTTTAGCAACATGACAAATGACAGTTAAGGAGCACCTACACTCACTGGCCAAGTTTAGTCAGCACGTACCTGCTGCTCTCTCTTCACGCAGGTAGTGATAAAGGCTGTAGAAACAGCTTATTTCTGACTTGGGAGGAGGTGAACTAAAATAATTCACTGACTGACATTACATCCCTTATGGCTCGACAGTAAAGTCATCAGGTGTTTTCTTTTTAAGTAAGTACAGTCTTGAAAATTATACTATCTGGATATAAATAGAAGTAATGATGTGTTTAGGCCCAGCTCCGGCAGTGCATGTCCAAGCAAGTGGAAGTATTAATCAGAGGAAAACAGCAAACGGAAGGCACCCTGCACAGCTTGGAGCGACAGGTGGATGCGCTGGATGACCTGGTCAGCAGCACTGCTTCAGACCCGCTGTTTCTAGCCCAAAGCTCAAGCCTGGTAGCTCTTCACAATGCTCTGAGTTTAACAAAGACAGAGGTAATACTCTTCTGGATACAGGAGTTCTGGTTTGGGGGTTTTATAAACAGTAGTCTATTACAGCCATATGGCTAAGTTGGTGGTTTTTGTTTTTTACTTTGTCTAACCTTTTACTCTTTAAAATCCAGATTTTTAAATTTTTTTTTAAGATTAATGTGTGTCTGCTAATTGAAGACATTAATTTATTATTCAGCCTTACTTTTACTGCTTTTTCTAGGCTACTCTGAAACGACTCGCACGCTTCCCCAGCAGGCCAACGGGTGTTTCAGTGGGGTCTAGGACGCTGCGCTCCAGCCTGCGAGGAATTTCTCAGTGAAGGCCAGAGGTGAGGGAGTGCACCTCCTGTGCAGGGAGCCCTGTAGGGTGAGAGGGGATGCAGGCCTGCCCCTTCCAGTGAAAGCATGCCTGGGCATGGTGTCCTCCCATTTCATGCTGTTCTGGCTCTCAGATTTGTATTTTCAAACAAATTGGGGGTGAGAGATGCTGGTAAACTCTCATGTGATGTGGAGAAATTACCACTCTATGACCAACTTAGATATTAAGCTGCTGCCATCCTTGATCTTTGAGTAACGTGCTTCTGGTTTTAATACCTAAATTACATTTACAGGTAGTTACAGTGCCAGCCTGGCACTTAAGCATTCTTTTGTAATGATTTAAGTTAAAAATGTATTATTTCAAGAGCTGCCATACATTGGAAGAAAAGCTTCGAGTGCATCTACAGCTGTTCTTCAGAAGTGACCTGCCAGCAGGAGTTACACAGTCCCTCAGGACCAGGAAAGCCTCTGCCCAGCTGGGGGCAGAACCACTCAGGCACCAAGGCCTGACCTGCACCATCAGTTACACCCGGGAAGATTTCTACCTCACACCGCTGCAAGCGTTTTCTAAAAGAGTATTTGCCACCACTGACAAACTGCTGGCTGCAGGCCTGTGCTCTACTGTGAAGTTCTTGTATGACTGAGTAACTGAACTTGATGTATATAGTTTTTTAAAAACTATTTTAAATGCAGGTTTAACTCTGCAGCCAGAACAACTCCTATTTAAGTGTGGGTATTTGTCACTTTCCACTCTAAAGAAAACTTGTACCAAGGACAGAGTTGTCCTTTTCCCTGTTGCCAAATGCCTGGATGTTTTAAATACAATTATTTTTGAGTACTTAATATAAATTTGAGTGAGTGATGCTTGCTTTTATCCATGGTTGTCTGTTTTGTTGGGGTTTTTTTAAGGTATTTATGGTTGCACTGCAGTGCCCTGCACTCAGGCAGCAGTAGCACACTTCTTTGCAGGAAGTGGAACTTGTCCAATACTGGTGTTTAGGTAGCTATTACTACTGACTACTGCTTGTAAGCCTGTCTGAAATGTGCGGCTGTGGTTAATGGTTCTGTAACAAAGTTCCACACAACTTGCTGTTAATTAGTGGGAAAACCACATTAAAGCCTTCGGACAGGAACAAGGACATACAGCTCCACACAACTGCCATCCCAAGGCAGCTCTCCCCCTCCAGCAGGATGCCTGCACAGAGCGGCTGCTTCCCCCCCCTTGAGACAGGCTTTGAAATCCTCCTCCATCCTGCCCTTCCTCACACACATTATCCCGGTGGCCCCTAGTGCTTGTGCCAGTTCCCAGGGAGCAACCACCAGCCCCAGCTCTGGCCTCAGCACTGGCCTCTTCAAGAAGAGTTGTGGATTCCAGCAGAGACTGGCAGCCACCTCCTGGGAAGAGCCAGGGAAGCTTCTACCACTACAGGTTAAACAACCGGTTAAAGCACAAACACCACATCTAGTTTATCTAGATACAGGTACTTTATTTACAAATATTTAGATTAATAGCATTGTTACATCAAATGAGTACAGCAGTCCAAACAAATCCTTTCTGTGACAGAAACAATAAGACCTACTGTAACTTACTCTGGGAGTACAGGTATTGCACCTCAACAAGCTGTAGTCATCAGAATGTGTACTTCGCATCGGCAGCAGGTCATGGTCCCTGGGCAAACCCTTTGCGGTGCAACCTCAGTTTAAGCAGGATGCATTAGCTGTAGATCTTGAACATACCCATCTACTTAAGAATATTAGTTTAAAAAAAAGGACTAACCAGACAAAACAAAGGAACAGTGCACAAGTTACCCAAATCCTATTGTCTGCACATTCCAGTTTTGGCTTTTATTTAACATTGACTGTACAATACTCTGGTACCACTGTTTACTTACAAGTCTGAACATTGTATAGGTTTAGTGTCTAGAGAGGGATTTTAAGACTACTTTGTATTTCAAAGGCTGCGGTAAGACTGAAGTCAGACATTCATCATCAAGCACTTACCCCTTCCAATTTTAAGCTGTATGTGGTGGATTTCCCCCAAGCAAAGCCCAGCAACATGCACACTCACCGTGTGACACCTCCCCTTCGCACAAGCAGTACAGGCTGTGTCACCCCCCGAAAGGAGGTACTCAAAGGCCTGACGAAAGAGCCCAAGTCTTAAGGAACCCCTCACATGGGACTGTTAGAAAATACAACAGTAGTTAAAAATCCCTAGAGAGCACACACATTGTTCTGACTGTCCAGTTCAGTCTCTGACCATTCAAAAAGGTAAAGGTATAAAAGCGTAAGATGTGCAAGAGAACCAGCCTTCGTATACAATGCAAGGCAGGTGATGAAGCCCAATAATGCAAAACGCTTACAGAAGAGAGAAGCAGGTTAGCACACTGCTGATTGCACAGAACGGGATTAATAAAATGGCATAGATATACCACAGTGCAAAGATGAGATTCCACTAGTGTTAATTTCTGCATCAGGATGGGAGCTCCCCCAGCACAACGTCCACTGCCGACACCAGGGGTTAAGCCTATGTTAGTGAGCTGCAGTTACACCGATTTCTGCACTAACGGGGCAACGTGGTCACATATAGGTCATACTGTACAAACCGATATTTTCTTATATACTGTTCTAATGCCAGTAATCATTTTCTTCATTAAAATCATATACACAGGATGTATTTAACTGTTAGCTCAGTTCCTTCAAATTTTATACATATTTACGTTCTGTTAACAAATGCAAAGGATAAAAGTGGCAAAAAAAATGACGTAAAGCTATGAGCACGAGAATGAATGGATTGTTTCCCTGTGCAAGTTGTACGCTCCTGCACCAGCCCGCCCCGACCCCCAATACACACACCACAGGGAATTCCTTCAACAAAAGCACATTGTTACAGAGCCCCTCGCTACCGTCGGAAGTCATTTCACAGCAAAAACTCATCCTTTACTACGGACAGCTCTAAACAGTTAGAGGTGGGGAAGAAAGGCCAAAGAACCATCAAATTAAACCGTACAAGACAAAGCCCTGCAAAAGTGTAAAATCATGAGTCCAGCATCAGTGCTCAGTTTAAATTATGGATCGGTGACACTATCACAAGGACAATCAAGGAAAAAAAACTTCTAGATTTACCATGCAGGAGAGGTTTTATTACTCTACTTGCCTTTGATAACCTGATTACATCTAAAGTCGTTTAGCAGTTTAGTACTGTGTTAAACTTGTCTCAGAGTTTTAATTAAACCCAGTAAGATGTACAGAAGACAGGGAAGCGGTCAAAAGCACTGCTTCCAACAGACAGAGGTGAAAGGTCAGAAATGGAGCCACAAAACAGAGGTCACTAGCAGCCACAGCCTTCTCTCTGGGGCTGGGGTTCGCTGGTTAGTCGCCCCCCCTGCGGGGCCGATGGTTTGTGCTGTACACCGGATTCTGCCGCATTCAGATCCAGGCTTCCGTCTTGGATGTTCTGGTAGATTTTCTTGGCAGCCTCCAGGAATGCATCCTCCACGTTCTCTCCGCTAGGAAGAGAGCGGCAGGAGTTACTTAGGTTACAATTGAGCAAAGCAGTGCAGGCACCAGAGGTAGCTGACCCCTGTGCTGGGATTTGATGGGTCACCAAGTAGCAACAGTTGCTACCTGCCCTCTTCCATGCAAGAGGAGCTGACAGGACTTCAGGCAGACACAAAGTTTGATAACCAATCCTTGGGACAGCCTTTGGGAAGGAAATTCACTCCCCAGCCACGAAACCTATTAGGACTAGCCAGGAATAAAAAAAACCCAAACAAACACGTGCCAAAACACTGAGCAGCAAGAATAAGCTAAGGCATCAAGCCACATGTACAGAGCAGTTTTGGAAGAGGCTGAGAGAGATGGGAGCTACTATTAATCAAAACCTTTTTGTTAAAGGGCTCCACAAAGACAGGTGCCAGTTGGAAACATTTACTAGTGTCACGATCCAACAGGCTGCGCAGCCGACCACAAGCATGGTGACCACAAGCATGGTGCCACGACTCCTCCCAGCGACCGGAGGGGCTGGCTGTGTGCTGCTTACAGCTCACCACACCGAGGGGAGGCACTCTAACTGGGAACCACCATTACCTACACATCCTCATTCTACGCTCAAATAAAGTCTTAAAACTAAACCAGTTCATTTGAATTCAACAAGTCTTTGCCTGAAATACAGTGAGAGATCAAATTTCCAAGTTACCTTCAAGTCAAAGCTGATGTAATTGAAACTGCTCTACACACCTCACCCGCTATGAGAACTCAAAAATAATGGGTTTTCCCCCACTTGTAAAACCCTACTATACCCAAACTCTATGGCTGTACTTAGTCATAACCAGTATATTCCTCTTCAACAGATCACATTTGAATCATTACTCTAGACAAAAGTAACTTACGTTTTTGCACTTGCTTCAAGGAACAATAAACCTGTTCAGAAACAGAGGTTTAACAGTCAATGCACAATACACTTCAAAAAGCCCTCAGTCACATCATGACCTTCAGATTACATGCAAGATGCTCTTTTAGTACTAAATAGTATTTTATGACTAAAGTTAAGGCATGAGTACACAAGCTAATTTCCATAACTAAGCACAGCTACAGTTAAGCCAGACTGAGGCACAGCAGAAGTTTGTACATATAATTACATTACTTGATGTAATTAACTTGATTACAGCTATCAATGCTGAGGATTCACTTTAACATCGCTATCTTGTAGGAAATATAACAGCTCAAGAGAAAAAAAACACACCATTTTCTTCAGCAAATTGTTTGGCTTCTTCATATGTAACATCCCTCTGTGCTTCCAGGTCTGCTTTATTTCCTATGAGGATTATCACCTAGTTCAAAAGAGAGAAAATTAGTCCGGGAAAGAGCTTATTAGCTTTTTTCACTACCATCCTCATTTATTAATAAAGACAATAAACCCAAAGGAAACAGCCAGAAAAGTTAAACTGCAAAACTCATGCATCTTCAGGAAAACACTGCTCTAGCAGTGCCCCTCTGAAGTCTG